GACGCATTAGAAGAAATTCATGCAGCTGCAGCTAAAAATGAAGATCTAAAAAATGGATTACGTGATTGTATACTTAATATTCAACAGTTGTTACATTCACGAACTGAAAGATTGGTATTACATGAAAATCTTTTTGTTGCTATGATCCTGCAAGTGATCATGATATTGATGATTTTTTTTAAGTATCTGTTTAATTTTAAAATATTAATTCATATTACTGTATATTTATTATATAAATTATTACACAGATTATTCTTGAAATTGATAAATTATTAGATGCATGTGAAACAACGGCAGAAATATTATCAAAGAAAAAGGATTTCAAGAACACATTATAGAATTTGTCATTACTCATTTCAAGTAAAATTTCATTGCTTTTTTTTGTATTTTTTATTTTTATTATATATTGAGTTCAATGAATTTAACAATTCCGTTTTATTATTCTACAGATTAAAAATGTAATAATGTTAATTGTAATGTTTGTAAACAAGTTCGGCTTCCTCAGCATATTTTTGAAAATATAGACTTTTTACCAGATCCTATTCCGTCAAAATGCAAGTATATTCCTTTTATATTATATTTTGCTTTTATTATTAAATATAATTTCTATACGAATTTTAACAGCTAATACTGATTGTTATGAAGGATTTAACTGTAATACTGAAACATCTGAGAAATATCGTCCTACTTTAATGGCAGCTATGGAAAATACAAGAGCACCACCAGCTATCTTAACAAATACCAAAGTTCGTGATATTATCCAATGCTTTTCAATGTGGAAAATTCTGATGTCTTTATAGTGAAAAAGCATTAACGACCATGCAAAAATCTGAATTTCAACACGTTATTAATGATTGGGATTATAATTGCTTTGCGGATCACTTTTGGTACAACGACCCTAGCATTACCACAAAAAAATGGTAGCCTCATCTGTTGCCAGGTTACATTTGATCCACGCATATGATCCGGATGATTATTTTTGGTAATTATAAACTTTTATTGATCTGATCGATCTTTTTACGCTATACACCACCTTTCTTTAATACGTGATCTATTATAGTAAAAGTAATTTTCAACTAACAACTGGAAGTTCGGCTACCCGTTTATGCAAATTTTTCATCAAAATATCGACAACACGATTACTGGTAGCGAAGAATTTCCAGAAGAGATGCTTACCCAAGAAATCGGGTATCGTTACCGAATGCCGTATATGAACTTTTGGTGAAATATTATTATGATGCATATGATTGGAATTTTGTATCAATTGCTGACTTAGCTTCAGTAAAATATAGTATCTTAATAGTTTACTATAATAAATAATTTTTTAAAAAAAAAAATTAGTAACGCATTTTATTATTAATTATTTAAGTCACAAACGACTACCTAATCATATAAAATACATAAAGGTATCAATAATAATAAGTTATTGCTAACCCTATAACTGACATCTAAATTTAACTATTCATAAACCCGTGCCATATCAAACCTATTGGTCTATTATCGATAATGCTATTCATCATTTTCTGTTCAGTTACTAATTTTATTAAATTTTTCGTTTCTTTTTTATTTTTTTCGTTATTTTCTTCTGTTTTTGTTTTTTTCTTTGACTCGTGCCTACTTCTCTTGTCTTTTTTACCAATTCCTCTTTTTCTTTCTATCTCAACTACCTCCTCACACCTCTTAAGCCAAATTTTTTGTCTTAATTGATCGTAACAATAGACCCATAAATCAAAAATTACCTTTTTCTCGTCCTTATTATTAGTAATTTTATTGAATCTATTGTAAAAACTCCTCTAAGCAATTCCCATTCCCTTGTTTTACCTAGTAAAATCGTGGAATTTTCGAATAAGATCTGAGTAAAAGGTACATTTACGTCTCTTACTATCTCTACTTGATACTCGTCCGCTGATTCCTAAATTATATCTTCAAATGACACTATCGCGTTCAAAATTATTTCTCTAATCGTAAATTCATTTGCTTCACATGTCCAAACATGATCTCAATCCTCATCTTCTTTCTCACATCGTATACATACTGTTGAATCAATCATATTTTGAACAAAGTAGCGTAAGTAGGAAGCTCTTTTAATAAAATTTTAATTTTATATGATCGTTCTAGCGCGTCTTGATTATTGGTTTGCTGTTTTGAAAATTTGTATAAATGGCTAACAAAATTTAAAGACTTATTCCAATCAAATTCATCAAATTCATAAAAAATTATAGTAAAATAAGTCTTAAGTTAATTCACTATTTAAATTTCGTTTTTGTATTTCACGTTTATCTTTGATTTTCCCCATTCTCTAAAATCTTCAGATATCAAATTTTTATTCCAGTATAAATTGAACTCATTTACTATCAATCCCTTCATCATAATAGAACAGTCTTTCCAACGTAGAATCGTTCATTGAATTCATATAATTTATCAAATAAGTCCTAATTTTGTTAGCCTTAATATATTCCTCGTTATTGAAAATACCCAACGTTATATTCTTTCGTTTAACCAATCTTCAATAAAATAACGATCATCCAATCTTTTTCTTTTACTACCTAATTTTATAAAATTAAAAAATCCTTGATTCTATTTGTTCTAGAGTTTTGATACATAAGCGATTATTATTGTCTAATAATAAAAGCACCATTATTAACCATGTAAAATAACGCTAATCTTGTCCTTAGATATTATTATAATACTAACTCTAATTTCGGTATCACTCTTATCTTAATCTTCCCTGATTACCCACGAAATTACGTCTTTACTTTCTTTTTTACCTCCTACTTTTTATTTTATTTTTTTATGATCTAGAATTATATATTTAGTTTTCTTTCCCTTTCGTCTCCTTCTATTAACTATTCTTTAAAACGTCTATAATATTTTACTAATTTATCAATATTGTCAATTCTAACATTATAATCTTCATCTATCTTTTCTTCTATCGTCATTTACCTATTAGATCATTCTTCAATTTAATATTCCCTAACGTTTCAAAAATTATAATAAATAATAAAATTAAAAATACATAAAATAACTTTATAACAACATTTTTTGCCAATAAAGAAATACGTCACGATAAAATAAAATTACCAAAAATAATTTTTTTTTATAGTATACAAAATAATCGTCCGGATCATGTGCGCAGATCGTGTGTAACCTGCAGTAACCTGCAACAAATCCGGCTACCATTTTTTTATGGTAATGCTAGTAATGCTAGGGTCGTTCCTTAGATCATGCGTTGTACAGTACAATATTTTATTTGTACTGAAGTGATAGATAGATATTTTCACGCTATCACGTGCAAGTGCATAACCCCTAAACTCGGGCCAGTTCGTACGTTAATATCGCACACTGTAAGGCGGCCTTACGTGAATATTCTTTATTTAAATAAAATAATTAATAACATTTGTTCAAAAATAAAATATTCATAATAAAAATAAATAAAAATAATAAAATAAAAATAAAATTCATCTAATAAAATAAATGTTTTTCATGAAATCCATCGAATAAAATAAATAAAATAAACAATTTTCATGAAATTCATCAAATAAAATAAATTGTTACTAATAAAATGCGATAGTTTCCCCTTCCATTTTCTTAAAATAAATTATTCCCATGAAAATTCACTAAAACCCACTTTTAAAAATTATTTCTTTAATAAAAATTCATGAAATTCACGAATTCACCTCCCAAAAATATAGAAACAAAATAAAATAAGATAAAGTGAAGCTTACGAATTATAATAATTCCAACGTTTTATAATAGTAAAGCTACTACGCCAACTCTTATGAAATTATTATTTTCCACCGACTTGAAAAATTACTCTAATGAAATTTTAAAATTATATATCTCTTTTTTGTGAAAACCTCTAACTGATTCATACGTAATTTCTAAATAATTATGTGATTTTCATTAAAATAATCATCCTTCAAAATTAAACCAATAAAATTAATTATTTCCTAAATTATGATCGTAATGATCGTCCATAATAGTATTTCTCAATGAATAAACATTATATCATTATCCTCATTTTGTTAACTAATAAAATCAATTATTTCCCGAAGTAATAAAATCATAAAACTATTTCTCAAAATAGTATAAAAAACTATACATGTACTAAACATTGTATATGAATAAGTTGATCCAGAAGGTTCTGATATGTATTTTATTTTAAAACGCTTCAAAATTCGTAGGTTATATACCTACAATAAATATATTGCTGCGGTTTATAATTAATAAATGCCTTAGATGAATCCTGGCATTACAACACCCTCACTGTACGTTAAGGACGCCCATTCCAACGCATGCATCATCAAAATACAAATTTGTATTTCCATTATGCAATATATGTCAAACTGCAGGTAAAGAATTTTTTGGAAGAATTGAAATTAAAACTAATACTTAAAAAAGGAAAAGGAATGATTTATAAGTTTTATGATAGTTATTGAAAACATAAAGAAGACTAATAGCAATTGATCTAAATAGTAATAAATTTTTTTATACATGATAATAAAAAAACAACTTTATAAGAACTCTGACCAAAATTAAGAATAATTCTGGCCAAAGTCATAATGTTGGCCTAAATTTTGAAAATTTCAGATTATAGGTACAATATAACATTATTTTTAACAATTATATTCTGCTCTAAAATTAACATTTTTAAGTTATAATCACATCTTCTCTATCTAAAAATGTAATAAAATTTACTGTTTTCATGGGTTTTTGAAAAAATTCATTTTTTTATTTTATTTTTCCTATTTACATTGTTTATAGTAATTTGAAAATGGTGATAATTCAAATAATTATTCTTTTAATACTGTAAAAGTAAATAAATGAATAAGTATTATTTTTATTATAAATATCATACTAAATAGTAGAGAATCACTATGATCTGCAATTTAAATATAAGTGAACAAAATAATTTTGTTTAAAACTTAACAATCATATTGGACATATGAGTAGAGTTGTATGATCCCAAGTGGTAAACAAATAAGAAACTTTGTTTTTCATTAACTTTGAGTAAATTTAATTTTTTTATTTGATGAACTATCTTCATCCAATATCTTTCGCTTACCAGCAAGTTTATCCGAATCAACTAAGTTTAGCATAGTTTCTCCATTAAGAATTTCTTCAATTTTCGACTTATACCGAATTTCAATTGGATTATTGTCATTTTGATTATTGTCATCATTATAATTTTGTTTAATATTTTTCCACTTAATAGAACACTGTTTAGCAGTATATTTGTAGCCTTTCTCAGATAGCATAGTAACGGCATCATCCCAAAGTTTTGTTTTAATTTTCTTACCACCGTGCTGCCTCTTGCGTTTTACTAGAAAGGAAAGTAATAATTTCACGGAATTTTCATCCCACGTGCACCTGCATGATTTTTTCTTTGAACTTTTTGTATTTTCATATACGTTAGAAGATTTGCTTAATCCTACTATAATTGATAATAAAACATTAAATTCGCTTTTAATCATTCAATTTAAAAAATTGCAAAAATAAATTCAAGACAATAATGATAAAAAATTCTTAAGCGTACATTTACAATAATTTTGATAATCTTCTACAAACATCAAATCTAAATAATAATTTTTCTTGCAATCTTGGTCTAGTGCCAAGTAACAAGTCAAATCTCTTTTTAAGCTACTTTCAAGAATTTTTTGATCTTTCATATTTTTCATGGGAAGTTGTTTATCTTGAGTGAATTCGATTCCATAAGTAGATTTATTTAAAAACTGGAAAATAAATGTAGACGAAAGATTTCTACATGTAAAGCGATACAATCTCTTGGTATCAGATTGTACATAATCAAAATGATAAACGTTATCATACTGAAAAGAATTATTGTTTAAGTTGTTGTGATTATTATTAATTTCTTCACATTTAATGTGATAAATTTCATTGGATAACGAATAAAAAAATGAGTATTCGGCAGTTTGATCATATGAATAATTAAACGGATAAGAAATGATAGTAGCCTGTTGGTCGCAAAATTCAAAGTCATATTGGGGAGTAGAATTGGATAAAATGCTTAAGTTTCTTGGAATTTGTTGATTTGAATTCATAATTTTATAAATGAACTGATTTCCTCTCTATGGTCTTAAATAAAAAAAAAAAAAAATAATCACTATATAATTATCGTCTTTCAAAGTGATTATTTTTGGAAATTGGAAAATCAATCATATTTAGTCTAAATTTAGATAGGAATCATTTTGAATGGGATTGGATTGAGATACCTTAATTGGGAATTGAGTTGAAGTGATGCCTTAATTAGATACTATATTTGGATAGGCGATAACCTTAATCGGATGAGGTGATACTTTAGTTACCTAAATATGACCGGTTTATTACGGAGAAAGTTTCAGGTCATGAAGTTTGAAAAAAATATATAATACCATAATACACAACGAATATTTGGCAAAATAAAAAAAAACAATCACCAAAAGCAAGATGGATGCTATGGGTGCTGTGACAATTGATCCTGCCGCTTCAATTCGACCTGTTACACAAAGTAACACATTAATTCAGCAAACGAATAAACAAACATTTTTTCATTACACACCTGAAGATGATTGTTTTTATCTTGTAACTTGCAAAAATATTTTACAAGAACCGTTCTTAGATAACCATGTTTATGATCATGGATTTTTTTTCAGCAATTCAGTTGCAAAATATTACGTTACATGCAAATATATTCCACATTCTTTGATTATAAGTTTATTGAATAAAGAATTATGTAGAATGGATCATGGCGCAATTAATTTGAATCGAAAAGAATCATTATTTTTGAGTCAAAAGTTCAATTTAGAGCAAGACTTGAAACAAATTCTTCCTTCACACCTAATAGAGCATAATATTCCTGAAAGGAAAGATGATATAAATTTTCATGTTAATAATATACCGACAACACGAACAACCGTTCAAACTAATTTTGATAATAACTTATCGTTTAATGATAATTATTTTGCCAACCAAAGAGTAAATGCGGTTGGAGGTTACACTCATGTCATTGACTCACATTTCAATAATAGTATCCCACAACAAATTCTCGAAAGAGATACGAGACCAGATTATAATGGAAATATAAATTCATTCCATGACAATATTGCAATGACAACACAAACAGACTCAATAACTAATGATCAAACCAATTTCAATAGCTCGCACCACCAAAATGGAGTTGAAAGTTTTCAAATTCCCGATGATGATCACCAAGATGTTGACTATACTCATAACTCACAGCAACAAGTTGATCTCGCCAATTTCCCACAATATCATATTCTTGAGAGTAAAGAAAATATTGAAAATTATGTGACATCAGTAGTTCCAATGGCAGATACTAATCAAAATTATATCGATAATGACTTACCACGCAATGATCGCAATGATCACAATTATCGCCAAAATGTATATACTCATCAGCAAGTTGAGCTATCCGATTTTCCATCACAACACATTCCTGAAACGAAACTGGATTTTGATAATGCGTTTGATGGAAATATTGGGAATGATTTAACTATAACACAAGCTGTTCCAGATTAAAATTATTAAAATGGGTAATGCGATATTTAATATATATCCTAATTACCGTATTCGATTTTTAAATTTTTTCCTTATTATAATTAATACCATAAAATTATAAATAACCTTAATAAATATCAAGCATTCAAATATTAACAAAATTACCAGATTGATTAACGTTAAGCTTAAACATATTTATTATTTATTTATTTTCTTCTGGAACCGGAAGTGACAGAACCAGCATTTAAATTATTCTAAGTTATCTCCATTTTTAAAACATTGTTAAAATTTATAAATACAACAGAACATTAACTTTTGGGATAGGTTGATTTTTGTAGTCTAATAAAATATTAAATATTACGATCATATGATCATGAAACTGCGAAGTTTTCTAGGCACAACGGTTATTGTGTTTTATCAAATGATTAATGTCATTGTCCATTTTACTTTGTACAGGGAAATGTGAAAAGAATATCCCTTGCCTTAAATACATATCTTTTACCTTGATAAACATTAATTTTAGGTTTACTTAAACCGTTATGGAACTATTTCTACTTTATGAGAACAGTCTTTTACGTGAGCATATATGCTAGTGTATACTGTATAATAAATTAACCCTAGTTAAATTTCAAGAGCTTTAGTGTAAGATTTTCATGGCTAGTAATTTTTAAGCTAGCGGCTATTCACGTCTCACAATAACAAAGCTTTAGAGAAAATTTTATTAATCGAACAAATTTCGAACTTCAAATCATTATTCATGAAAAGAAACTTCAATATTACTTTTGTATAATTTACAATAAGTTGGAAAATTACTACGAAAGTTTATAGTGCAACCAGTAGGATTTTAGATATATTGATTTAATCTTTAATCCTAATACAAGGCCAGTTCATTTCGCAAAATCCGTTAACCAATCCAAGCATGTGATTAAATTATTAGCTGATCGCTGATCGTAAAATTTTTTCAACAATAACCAATTAACACGTTCGTTTTGCTTATTTTAAATTGCGATCAAGAAATTCCACTTTTTTGTAGAACGCAAAAATCGGATCATTGATCGGGTAACACATTTCCGTCAGCCAATTTATCGAAATGAACAGGCCTACAGTCAACTCTCGTCTCTCGATAATAACGAACTCGAAATTTTGACACGTGACATTTAACCAATCAAATACGTCAAATATCTTCTCTATAATTTTATAGAAAACCGTAGGGTTCGTTATATCGAGAGCTGACTGTATATCGAATAATACAGACCTTTTTAGAGCTTGGACTCGAGTTAGGATGAATCAATTTGAGTAAACGAGACAAGACTTGAAAATCAGAAGTCACCTCGAGTCAATACCATAGTGCGGGCCAAAATCGTTTATAATTTTGGCCAATATCGCACTCGGTTTTTATTATCGATCACGTTTACTTGAGTCAGCTCAAGCCTCGAGTCAAAAAATGTCGAGTACGAGTTGAACTCGAGTTACTCGAGTTACGAGTCCAAGCTCTATTAATTGGTCAAATAATCAGATTATTATTTATATTATAATTTATACTATAGTGAGTAAAATAAAAATATCATACAGTGTTACAGTGCTATGCAATAAAATAATTATTACATCTTATCATTAATTGATCTTTAAGTTCTTTCAGATAGATAAATAAGTATTTTGAACTTATTCTAATTATATATATATATATACTGTACATGGAGGTAATTTTTTTTGTCTGCACTCATTTACTCATAATTACACGGAAATATTAAAGATGGACTTATTTTATCTTATGTTGAAACAAATAATAACACTGATATTATTGAAGGATAATAGTTTAGTATAATTTTTAATAAGTGTGAAATAAAATTTTGATTTTTTTCTTACTAAAAAAAAAATAGTATTCTATTATATATATATATATACAGTATGAAAGTCATTGTGCGCGCTAAATCATGTAATATAATTGAATTAACGCCTAGGATTAATTAACGCCTAATCAAATGCAATTATGCAATGCACCCCTGATTGTGGTTTTACATGATCACGTGAAGTTTATTTATACAGTTTACAGTAGGATCGGCATCGTGCGTGAATAGAAACCGCGCACAAAACGGAACTGCTAATCGAATGAGTGTATGATGTAACAGGATCAATTGGATGGGATTGGACCTACCCATTTTTGGATAACAATACAATCTAATCCGTATCATATTTATCTCCTGTTTCACACAAAAATATAACATGACTAATCAAAAAATGTATATAAGTAGACAACTGAAAACTGTCTTAAAAAAAAATTCAATTTTTTTTTGACTAAATAAATTAAATATGAGTTCAAATATTATGCCAAATATTATTCCAAATAATTATACTATGGAGAATTATTCAACCAAAAATGACTTCGCTATTTATCAAAACGATGAACCTAACATTCGACAAATTTCAAGCGTAGGAATGCAAAATAACTTTATCAACCCTGCGGCTCCCAAATCTGAGACATATGAATGTTATTTGCCTATGCCAAACGAACGGCGTTTCTTTCATGTTACGTATACCGAGATAGATGAGTTTGAAATCACGCAACTCTTGAATAATAATATTAATTTATCTCACATTCCTAATCACCAGTTTCCACATCACTATAATATACAAAATTCAATTCAAAGGCATATTATTCAGAATTCTCAGCAAAATTACAATTTTTATAATGGCATTAATGACATTCGAGAAGATACTATGGGACCTGGCTATGATTACATAACAGATATACCAGATATACAAAATTCATCAGGGCATGAGGTCTTACTGCAGCAAAAAAATTATCAATTATATAATGACACAGTGACACACAGTGACGCAGACTTAACTGATGAATTTTAACAGAATTATAATTAAAGCAAAAAACCAACGTTGGTGAAATTGTTTTAAATTGTTAAGTCACTAAGATCTGCATACAATGGACACTTTCGTAATGATAAATTTTAACTATAAAATTTAATTTTATTATGAAAAGACTTTTCATTTAAAATTTCCACATTTTGTTATTATTCTAAATGAAACCAATTTGGAATGCATTGTTATATCAGATGCGTATTGTATACAAAAGTTAATTTTAACTTTAAAATAGGTTTTAACAAAAAGCTTTATTATAGCTTTAACGATTGTAACAGCTAGCTAAAACTTAAATTATTGGTTTCAGTTAAAGTTGGTATCACTACAATTATGCCAACAATGAAAAAAGTATATTTGACATTATTATATTATCATAATTATAATTTGATTTTTTTTTTTTTACTTTTCTTAAAAATAAATGCGTAAAATTATTTTTTAAAAAAAAATGCGATGTGGATTGCAAAAGTTTAAATAAAGTTTATAATAATTTATAAAATCATTACAGAATAAATCTAATTTTAAAACTCATCGCTATTATAGGGCATAAACATTATTATACTACTAGATTAGTAAATAACTAATACTTATGCGGCTCGTTGCCGCATATAATGGTTAATGACGAATAATCACTATAAAATTTTTATCCGAATATTTCCATTATTTTTCCGTGTCTTCCGTAAATATTCCGTGAAAATGGTACATTCACGGATATCCGTGTTAGCGAGATGAAAATTTTCATGATTTAAGGCATGAAAATGATACATTCACGGAAAAAACATGGATGATAAAACATTGATCAAATTTTTTACGGGGACGGTATTTTTGTCATCCATTGATTACTATATAAATAAACCGTAGAGAAAGATTATGTTATCCTTCTGCTTAATCACAAAAAAAGAAACAATATTATTATTAATATTTGTTATTGTTTAATGAACATCCTATAAAAAATTTTTCGGAAAAATGATCACGTGTCTGAGTTTCTTCGGAATGAAAATTAGAAAAATGATCATTTATCGGAGTTTTTCCAGATTTTTTTTTTATAGAGACATAGAAAAGACATTTCTAAGACGCTATTCTGTATTTGCTATGGACAGAATCTGTAACTATCAGCCAATCAATTGCTTTTCTTTTCACGTTACGGATGTTTGGAGGTGTTCGCTTGCCAAAATTAATCTGCCTTTTTGTCTATTCAGTAACTACCTTGTCAACATAAATTCTAACATAATTGAATTATTTAATTTCATTCGATATCGTACCTTGATCACATGTGATCCATTACTTTTTTTATTTAAATAAATAAATACACAGGCGATCGCGATAAATCGGATCTTCGATAAACCGGATTTGGATTTTTCTCCCGGTTGTCATATAAGAACAATCGCGATATACCGGATTTTATTAGTAAAGTCGCGATATTTCATAAGTCGGATTTGAATTATATCAAAAAAAATCTTGATATATCCTTTTTTAGAATACCTTATCTGTTATATTATCGTAATTTTAAAAAAATGCTTAATTCCAGCCGAAATGGCTAATTTTGACCAGAATTAAGATTAATCATTTATACCGAAATTCTTTACAAATATTGCATATTCTTTTTTTATTTTGATATTTTAATCAAAGTTTGGGAATAGCTTTATTTTTCTGTATATCTTGATACACCGGATCCTAGCATAATTTCATATAAAATCCGGTATAAGAAGATTTTTTTATATATCGGATATCTTGATATACCATATTTCCCTGAAACAAATCAATCCGATTTATCGTGATCGTCAAGTTTATGCATGTACTTTTAAATTGCTCAGTATTTGTTGAATTTACTGACTAACTTGTTGAATGTTTCTCTGAATTTCATTTTTTCAGTGATCACATAATATATATTTTATTTATCTACGAATTCTTTGAGAAATGGACCTTGGCAATATTATAATGTTTAAGTTGGCACTGAGACATTCCTAAAGAGATTGAAAAATTTCATCTTCAGCTTTGTATGTACAGTACAGTATAGGGCCCAGAAATATATATAGGGGTCAGGTGATGAAAAAAATTTTTTACTATGAGCTGTACGCATTTTTTCAGGGCCGGAATTATGATAATGTCAGTCGATTACTATAATAGGAAATAAACATTCTGACTGGAATTATCAAAAATCATCCAAAAAAGGAAAGATTTTCATGATATTTTAGTTCAAAATACGCAAACTCAAACCTGACCCTTTTATATATATTTCTGGGTCCTTACAGTACCATACTGATCAGCAAACAGCTTCTTTCTTTATTTATTTATAAGATAAGAGACACGGCCCGGAACCACAAACAACTGCTAGTAGTACGAAATACAAACAACGATACAAAACTAAACTAATACGAGTGAATTCAACCCCCCAGGCACTAGAGAGGAGTCGCTTGCCCAATGCTTATAAGGAACCCTAGGCATAGCCGGATTAACCGTAGAAAGAAAAATTAAATGAAGTTATATAAAAATCTAAATTAAAAGATACAGAAATAAAAGAAAAATAATCCATAAAATTTAAATGTTTATCATAAAAAGATTGTCTATCATGACAATCATGAATTTGACTGATGTTGTAAGAATGATTCAATGTGGAATAAAATGATGATTCAATTGATTCATGCGTTTGTAAGTATTCAATGCGCAACCGATCGTTGTAGCGGTTAGAATGGTCATAAATCTTTAAAGACGGGTGTATATTGCGCCTTGGGGGAGCAGGACTAGATCGAACTTGAATATCGTAACGATCTTGAAGTTGTCTTTCTTCAACTTTTGAGATTTTCGTCTGCGATTTCGTAAGAAATTACTTTTCGATTTGGTGATACCATGTTGTTTTTCCCATGAATTTAGGGAATCTGTGTGTCGAAGCCAATTGATGAATAGAATTGATTTTGACAAGAAAGCATAAATTCCATGATCAAAGAACTCGTGAGCTTGAAATTTTTGGTGTGTGCATAAAGCAAATCCACTAGGACTTGGGAACCAAATTATGTAAAACGAGATAAACAGGATGAGAATCATCGAGCACCAGGGTGAACGACGTTTTGTGTTTTTGTGATTTGATCCAACAACAAATTTTCTACCCCACGTGACCTAAAATATTCATCACCGGCATCACACCCATCGCTTTTTTTTGCCTCCCAATTCCCAAAATTATTTTTTTTCACATACTTTAAATGTCATCGGTCACGTGGGTAGAATTTTTAATAATATAGTTGTTGGTGTTACCACGGTAAATTGATTCCCCTGTCCGGGTTAACCCGGGTTATAATCAGATGATTAGATGATCTTATTTAAAAAAAAAGAGTGAAGCTGAAAAAACCTCTCTTGGAAAGTGAAATTCTTTAAGAAGGGAACTTTTATTAGAGAACTTTTTGAAGAAAACGAGCTTCTCATCACAGCATAAAATGAAAAAACTCGTCGAGAAGTTAAGTGTTTGAACTTTCCGTAAGTATTTTTTTTAAAAAGAACAAAAAATTTTTTCATATTACTGTACATAAGTATTTTATAAGGTTAAATAGTATAAATATATGCTAACATTTTATCTTTCTTAATATTTAGAAACAAAACATGGCTTCGCAAGAGAGGAGACTCTAATACATCAAATCTTTGGCGTCATTTAGAGCGTAATTATCCAGATAAAAATCCAAAAAAGCAAAAGAATTTGATAATAGAAAGCTAAAGTACGTTAGATGAATTTGTAGGTCATCCAAGTTTCCATCTAAAGTAAGTTAATATAAACAGTAAAATATATAAATTATTTTTATAATATTTACATCCTTCATTTTAAGTTTACACAAAAAGATTTTCGTTGGTTCATTTCAAATGGATAATTCTTTCTTCCTTGCCTTATATGATAATTATTGATTAATGCTCAGGCTTTCCCCCCTTTACCTAACCTTCCTCACCTATGATGATGATCAACCGTTCACAACACTAGAAAATAAATACTTTCGACAGATGATCAAGCTGGTCAATTCAGATTTACTTGTGTCATCAGCAGATACATTAAAAAATGATATATTAGAAAGTTCTAAAGTGGAACAAAAAAAAATTAAGGAATTATTTCAGGTAATTTTAAATATACGTGTAAATAATTTTTAATAAATTAAATTATTAAATTATTTAATTATTTAATAGAGTGTACCAGAAGCTTTAGATTCATGGATATCAATGAATAGTTATGCCTTTTTAGCTATTACAACACACTGGATTACAAAAGATTGAAGACTACAGGATAAATTACTGGATTTTATAGATCTTTTTGATCCTCATTCTGGTGAGAACCTCTGTAATGCTTTTGTAAAAAGTTGTCATGAATTCAGGATTTTAGCAAAGGTAAATAAATAATTTATATAATATTTATATGAACTTAGATCTCATCAATCATTATAACTTTAATAGGTTTTTGCGGTTAAAAGTGATAATGCATCAAATAATATCACTTTTATGAAATATTTAGATGTTTGTCACAAAGAAAATATTTCTTTTAATGCTATCAATTCTCATTGCCAAAGCAATTAAAAGCTGGTGATGCGCAAACTGAGGATGATATCATGAATAATATTGATGCAACTATAAATGCTGGAGAAATAATTCCAAAAGTTAGTTGATTTTTTTGTATTTATATTATTTATTTTTGAAATTTTCAATTATAATAATATTAATTTTATATGATAATTTTAGCTTCGTAAACTTGTAGTAATAATAAAACTTTCACCACAACACCTAGAAAGATTTGCGCGTCACTCTGAAGCAGCTAATCTTAAAGATCTTAAACTTATTTTGGACGTGAAGACGCGGTGGAATTCCACCTTTGATATGCTTAACCGTGCGTTTGAAATGCGTGAGATTAGAGTATTTATAAAATACAATTACTTTTTATTTATATTTAATATATAATAATATTACTTTTATAATAGAGGCAATAGATGCAATGGTAAATTCAGATAGAGATCTTAGAAGTATTGACTTACTGATGATGAATGGAATGAAATCAAAGAGATTATTTCTGTTTTAAAGGTAAGTAAATTATTATAGGTTTTATTTGTTTGTTTAACCTTTATGATTAATTAAAAATTTTTTATTTTATATTAAAACAGATATTCGTGCAGACTACTAAAATACTTTCATCTGTAAAATATTCCAATGCTTTCTTCTGCTATATATACCAATATATAATTATTTAATGGGTGGACCTGAACCATATTGTGAAAATTTGATAGCTCTAGTGATACTATGGTAATTGCTGTTAAAGCAGGATTAGAAAAACTTGAGATTTATTATGAAAAAACTGATGATACTACTATGTATACAATTGCTACTGGTAAGTTAAATATAAAATATTATAATTTTATTATAAATCTGATTAAAATTTATAATATTAACAATT